TTGTTTTTTTTTTCTGCAGTGACTTTATGAAAGATAAAACCAATTTCACAAAGTACAAATGGCCCAACACACAGGACCTTGTCTGACCCTCGTCTTCCTGACCCTCCTTCCATGCAGCCTTACTGGGCACAGTGATTCCTTGACCTTCCTGAGCTTTGCTGTGCTGTCTTATGTTTCTGGATAATGGCACACCAGAAACCAGACACTCTGCCCCTCCTTCCTGCCTGGAAAACTCCTTAAAACCAGAGGAGGTCACTCTGCTGGTGGTCAAGATTTTCTCCCCCCACCCCATGCTGCAAAAGCACCTTGTTCACATCAATGCTTGCTCACTTGCTTGCCTGAGATTTCCTCTGATCAGGGCCACGTCTCTGTCTTCTGTGGTTATTTTTTCCAGTGTCTCGTACTATATATCACAATAAGGAACATTTATGTAGAGTACTTACAAGTTTGAACACTATTCAAACTTGTAATTTCTTGGAAGACCCTAGCAACCCTTGTGGTCATCAACCTCATCTTACAGATTAAGAAATGGAAGATAAAGTTGAGTCACTGTGGAGGGTAACATACAGATAGTAAGAGGTAGAACAGGAAGAAGTAGACTTCAGCCAGCGAGGTTACAGTTCAGATCCTTATCATGCCAAACGAACAGATCCCTTCTTGAAGGAGCACACTGGTAGCTATGGCAGTCTGGTATCGTAGTGAAACTCCAGTCATCTCCACGTGTCCACAGGGAGCTGTTCTAGGACCCCCTATAGTTACCCAGATCAGAATATGCTGATTATGGTTTAGACGTGTGGTGTCCCCCAAGCTCATGTATGAGACAATGCAAGAACCTTCAGAGGTGAAATGATCAGATGATGAGAGTTGTGACCTAATCAGTAGATTAATCCATCTGAGTGGATTAACTGGGTGGTAAGCTAGAAGGATGTGGCTAGAGGAGATAGATCCCTGGTGATGTGCCTTTGGGGTATATATTTTGTCCCTGGTGAGCAGAGCTCTCTTCTTCCTGATGTCCTGTCCTGAGCTGCTTTCCTCTGCCATGATGGTCTGCTTTGCCTTGGGCCCAGAACTATGGAGTCAGCCATCTATGGACTGAGACCCCTGAAACCAAGAACCAAATAAACTTTTCTTCCTCTAAGTCATTCATGTCAGGTCATAATGCTGAAAAGATGACCAAAAGGACATGATGTTTGCCTATAAACCATACTCATCCTCTCATACACTTTAAATCACCTCTCGATTACTTACAATACCAAATGTAATGTGAAGGCTATGTAAATAGTTGCTATGCTGGATTGTTTAGGGAGCATATCTATTCAACACAGGTGCAATTTTTTCTGAATATTTTGGAACTATGATTGGTTGAATCATGGATGAACAAGTAGGGATGACCGATTGTACATTTAAAAAGTCTAGGCTTAGAGGAGCAGATGTAATTTAATTAAATGAAATATCCGCAGAGCACAATAAAAGTAGCAGGTACCTGCCACCACCCTCTGAGAAAGCTTCCTCCTTTTCTGTTGTGTGTTATTTTCCTTCTGAAACCAGTTGTTTCTTTATGGCTATATTTCTGTCACTATAACAAATACCTGAGATAAAGCAACTTATGAAAAGAAAAGAATATTTTAGCTCATAACTAAAGATGAAAGGTACACTTTTTGATCAATGGGCTTGGTTGTTTGGGGCCTGTGGTGGTACATCACTGCAAGAGCACATGGTAAAGCAAAATCATTTTCCTCATGACTGAGATGAAGGGAAAAAAAAAAGAGGAAGAGAAGGGGTTCCCCATATTCTCTTCAGGGGATGCCCCTAATGACCAGAAGACTCAACCTTATAATGTTTTCCATCACCTCCCAAAAGCACCAACCTGGGGACCAAGCATTCAACACATAGAAATTTGGGGTCCTTCTGGATCCACACCAGAGCACCATGAGTCCCACTTACACCCAGACTGGATGAACTCAGGTCATGGTGTGATGGGGAGGTTTCAGAAGGCTGGTGAAGGCAGGACGTTTATCTTCTGCAAAGGCAGTGGTGGAGCCACCAGAATGGCGTGAGCAAGAGTCACGGAGTCTCCTCTTGGAGCGAGCCCACTAGAGACAGGAGAAGAACCTTGCAGCTGCTGCCGCTGCTGACACCCTCAGAACAGGTTTGGGGTGATTCTTGGAAATGGTCAGCAATTGTGTCATCTTCTGATTTAAACTCAGGGGAGGAAATAAAAAGCAGAACCACATGGTAAAGGATTCCCAAGGGGTCTTTTTTTGCTGAGAAAAATAATGGGCAACTCTGATTCCTTTCCCAGATGAACCAACCACACCACCAAGACCTCCCCGACTGTCCACAGAATGAAAAGAAAAAAGAAAAATAGTGGCTCAGCATCTCATCTGGCTGAGGGAGGACAGCAATGTCAAATCTACCCTGAGTGTTCCCTTGGTCCCTTCTGCTCCCTAAAGCACACGGTGGCTGTATGATGCTAAGCAGAGCAGCCCCTCCCTCATTAGAAAGACCTGTTTTACTTTATTTATTTGTGAGTTTTGATGCTGGGGATTGTAACCAGGACTTCATGCTTTCTAAGTCCATACTTTAGAACTGAGCTACACCCCCAGTCCAATTTTGCTTTATTTAAACGATAAATGTTTTCCTTTTTACTTAACCTACCCAGCTCAAATGTAAGTGGGACTTGTCAGCTATCTGGTTAATTTTGTTTGTATGAGTAATAATAAAATTAGTGAAAAATTGGTTTTTGTACAGTTCCAATCAATTTTCCATGCAACTTAGCTTTAAGGAAATTTATCTTCATGAGAAATATGTCAGCCAAATCCCAGTTGAGGGACAGTATACAAAATGTCTGAACAGTGCTCCTTGAAACTATCAAGGTCATCAAAAACAAGGAAAGTGTGTGAAACCACCACAATCAAAAGGAGCCATAATCTCTAAGAAGACTTGAGGACTTAATGTCAAGTGGCAGCCTAGTTGGGGTCCTTGGCCAGAATAAAAGATATTAGGTTAAAAAAACTAAGAAAAGCCAAATAATGTGTAGATCTCAAAGATTAGTAATGTATCAATTTTGGTTCATTAATTGTGACAAATGTTCTGTATCAATGCACAGTGTTTCTAATAGGGAGGCTGGGTGTGGGGCATATGGGAACTTCAAATCATCCTCCCACCTGTTTGGTAAATCTGTCTAAAATAAAATTTTAAATAAATCTAAAGCTGTATAAAATAAAATTTTATTAAAAACATATAAATAAATTAGTGTCTATGAGAAACTTCCTTAATCTTATCTTCTCATCATCTTGAGTAAAAGTTGACCAAAACCAATGGTAAGTGTACTTAATGACACTCATGTTTACTGAGTGCGGACGACAGTCACTGTGCTAAGAGCTTTACATGCATTACCTTATTCAGTTCTCAGAAAGACTCCGCAGGGTAGGAACAACTATGAGCCCACTGTCCAGGTGATAAAACGGAGGAACTGCTCAGTTCTTCAGCCCTGTTCACAAAGCAGCTTTTGGTTGCAGAACCCACATATTATGACACTATTCTGCACTTCATAGAGAGTGGCCACAGATGCAAAAATTACAAGTCAGTTGAAATTAAGGACCGTGAATCTTCAGACTTAAAATATGCTGAAAATCGAGGCTGGGCTGATGGGGCTTGAGTGACAACCCCACACTCTGCACGTGCAGCCTGGGAGACGTGCCATTCGTTTGTCATCTAATGGTAACATGCTTGTGAAAATTCATATTCTTTGAAGGATGATTAATTAATCTGACAAGTCTAGATTATGACAAATGACCCAGAAGGGAAAGAATCAGTCAGCAGGCTATGCCCTGAACGCAGCCCAGACCTGCACCATTTAGGCTTCCTGTCACAACCACTGCCCTCTCTGTGTGCATTTTGGGGCTCTGCTTCCTCTGCCTAAGCAACCCTGTATGCACACTCCATCCCAGGGACAAGGAGTCAGGCTGGTTCTCCCCAGAGATCTCTCATGGATCTCCAAGATGTGTTAGAGCTATCTTGAACACTGTTTTTAACCCCAATTCTCGGGCTTGAACACCTATAGAAATGTGAAGTCCATGCTCTCCAAATGCAGCCCATTTGGGTTCCCTAAGTATCAACATTAGAGACAAAAGACCCAGACGCAGACTTTTCCCCCGGCTAGCACTCCTCTGGTCCTTCCCAGTGGCTTCCAAACCTGGGGGTGAGACTCATGAGCCTCCTTCTTCTTTTCTCTCCTACCAAGACCCAACCCTCAGTGAGTCCTGGTATCTCTTCCTTGAAAGTCCACTCCAAAGCAGTTTGTCCTTTATGTCCTTGCAGACGCCCTCCAGCCCCAGCCACACTCCCCTCTTGCTTGGACTGGCCAAGGATACTGAGAGATATTGGCATGCCATGACGCATCTGAAAAGTAGAATCACCTGATATTTCCATTTCCACCTGCCTAACTTGTCGTGTCTCAGCTGTTTCCAACCTTGGATGATGAAAAAGGCTCTGTATTAACTCCTCTGAACTCCATATAATTCTTAGAATTGCATGATACATATACTTTGGGGAAGAAGAGGGTACTGGGGATTGAACTCAGGGGCACTCAACCACTGAGCCACATCACCAACCCTATCTTGTATTTAATTTAGAGACAAGGTCTCACTGAGTTGCTTAGTGCCTCACTTTTGCTGAGGCTGGCTTTGAACTCAGGATCCTCCTGTCTCAGCCTCCC